CTGGCCCTCAAGGCAGGGTGGGCAGGAGCCAGAGTGGGGTGGAGATGCCTTGGTCATCATGTTGGCAGCCCCAGGACCTGCATGGGGTCCCCTCTGGGGAGGTACAGCCCCGTGTGGCACCGTATGTTTGCTCTCTCATAGGGGTCACGAGGAGCACGAGGGTGGTGCAGGAGGAAAACAGCCCCATGTGGAATGAGGTGAGACCTCCCCCTCCTCACATTCATGCTTATGCACACACATACACGCATGCACACAAACACACATAATCACATATGCACACATACAAACACGTGCATATAAATGCCCATACAGGTAATTGCACGTTCATGCACACGTACAAACACGGGTGCACATAAACACATACCCATAAACTCGTGCATACACGTGCACATAAACACCCATGCATATGCATGCATAAACATATACACACGTGTACATGCATGTGCACGCATACACCATGCATACACACACATACACATGCTTACATGCATGCACACATAAACATAAGTACACCAAAACACACACACAAATGCATGTACACACAAACACACATATACGCATACATGCATACATATCTGCAGCCTGGGAATGGCTGCTGAGGTTGTGTTCCAGCGTGGAGACCTCTCCCAGGCCCTGGAACTCTTCAGATGGCCACAAGGCTTCTCTTCCTGAGGCCATGCGTGGGTGTACCCCACACACAGCCCTGCCCCTTCCCTTCTGTAGCCTTATGCTTCTCACTAGGCTTCACTCCCCTGACAGCAGAGGGGCCTGGCGTGAGCAGGGACCACAGCACAGCTCTGTGACACATGTGGCTTCTCTTGCAGACTCTGGCATGGCCACTGGGGGACCAGCCTCTGAATGCCACTTCTGCCCTGGACATCCATCTCCGAGAGCTGGATCAGGAGAGGTGCGTGGCTGGAAGATGTATGTGAGGTGGTCATCTGGATGGGGAGGCCTTTCTTGACCGTCCCAAAGCATTTTCTTCCCAGGTAAAGCAGGTGGGTGAGACTGCTGCCTTGCCCATGACAGCCATGTTCCCATCCTCCAGGGACCTAGGCTCCGTCACAGTGCCACTGGTATTCCTGGCCACCAAACCAAGCCACGTCCTCACCCTGAAGGACCTGCCTCTTCTGGACAGTGACAGGCAGCCCATGGGGGTGAGTCTGGGGTAACCAGGCTGGACAGAGGGAGGTTTTTCCATTGGGATTGTTCCTTTGAAGCCACGGGTCCCGGAGGGGTGAGGCATGGGCTAACCTCAGACAAGCCCTCAGTCTCCACCACATGGCTGTCTCGCCTGTGAGAGAAGGCAATGGCCAGGAGCTGAGACGGTGGCCAGGAGCCTCCAGTCCCAGCCCGTCGTGTCTGGAGACCCACAAGGCTCCCCCCAGTCCTGTCCAGCATCTCATCCCATTCCTCCCATGTCAGTAATATGGTGGCATCTTGCTCCATCTACCCTTTGCCACGTGTCTCTGCCCCTACTGTGGCCCAGGACCCAGCGGAGATTGACTCATGGGTGGCAGGGAAGATATCCCAGCTTTAGCCTGAGCAACCAGAGGGAATGTTTCAGGACATGAGAAAAGAACTTGTAGTCAGCAAATGCTTTGCTACCATATTTATTAGTAGAATACTAAGGGAAGGGACAGAAGAGTTTTCCTTCTACCAGATGGGTCAGGATTGAGGTCCTCCATAGCTCTCTGCGTCATGCGTGCCACAGTTTAGCCCCCACGTGGTCTGAGGCATCCAGGATGTGACAGGGCATTATGGCCTGGAAAGAACCGAGCCCTGTGGGGCATTTGCTGCAATGGATTCCAGGGAGGGCAGCACCTAGGATTACCCCATTCCCATGGTGAGCTAATCCCATCTGCTGTTGGCTTTCAGGGTACCATCAGTGTAAACGCCTCCTATATCCCACCAGGACACAAGATATTCAGGGAGCCTGGAAAGCAGGAGGCCAAGTGGGGAGGTAGGTGAGGAGGCCTCACATTGATGTCTTCCAGCTTCCCTTGGCCTTGGTGAGTGGCGGGGGGAATTTTCTTGGCTGAAGGGAGGAAGGAGGTTTACTTGGCTGGGCACCACCTCTCCAGATCCTTCCCGCAGGCAAAAGCATAGTTCCTGGATCCCCCAAGGAAAAGAGAGGGCCTGGAGAGCAGCTCATGGGGGCAGGACACCACAGGATAGCCTACCTCTCCGTCTGTGGGCTGGGCCCAGATGATCACAAGTCAAGACCCCATCTCAGGCCTGTGAGGCATGTCCAGCCTGTGCCAGGCCTGCACAGGGCTCCCTTCACCGCACTATAGTCCATCCCAGGGGGCAGCTCCCCATGGCAAGCCAAGATTCAGAGTATCCGGCAGCCTGCACATGAAGGGTACACAGGATGATGTGTGTTGGGCTTTGTGTTTTGACCATACTGCATTATGCAGGCAGCCCCATGGGTCATGTGTATGGTGAATCAGGGGATGGAGTATGAGTTCCCCTCTGAGCACCATCCAACCCAGGCTGGCCGCATCCCTCCCTCTCCATCCTTCTGCAGTCGGGCCAGCCAGGGCTACTGGCATGGACCATCGGAGACCAGGATTTCACAGCCCAACGCCTCGCAGGCAGGAGCTTGGGGACAAGCAGCAGGATTTCCAGGTACCAGGCTGAGGTCTCCAGAGCAGGGATCTCCTCAGGGAAGGTGGCCAGGGAGGGGTCCAAGTCAATCCTGCCTGCCACAGCCTAGCTAACCACCTTAGCTCTGTCTAGAGCCAGAAGTCATGTGTACAGCCCATTGGCTGGATTGAGCCCACAGAGCAGCTCCAAGTAGCTGGCCAGAAGCATGAGAGCAGCATTGGGTCTGGCTGGGGCTGGGATTTGAGCTGTGGCCCCTGCCCTTACCTCAACAGGTGCGTGTGAGAGTGATTGAAGCCCGCCAGCTCCAGGGGAACAACATCCGGCCAGTGGTGAAGGTTTTTATCGGAGAGCACATGTTCCGCACCCGGATCAAGACTGGCAACAACCCCTATTTCAATGAGGTGTGCATTAGAGTGGGGCTGTCTCGGAGGGAGCTGGAGGCTGAGAGACGGTGCTGTTACAGAGGGCAGGATGGCCCAGGCAGGGGGCTGTGACTGAGGGGTGATGGGAGATGGCATCATCCAGGGATGGATCCAGCTGGGGGTAGTATCTCCCTTGGATTCCTGCTCCACTAAGCCAGCTGTGTAGCAGCGGCAGGGGCGTTTCTATGTAAGCAACACTTGACTCCATGGCTAACAGTTATCTACCTGATTCCTTCTAAACTCTTCACTCCACAGGTGTTTAATGACCCTTTCTCCTTTTTATAATGGTCTCCATCTTCCCCAAATCAAACTAGCTTTTCCTCTGCAATTCTCCTGTCTCTTAGTTCCTCCTAGAAATGTTGCTTCTATTTCCTGGCCTTGCAGACTGTTTTTAACTCTAGCTCAAAACATCCACTCAGAGGTGGAAACCTGAACTCAGGGTAGAAATAACATTCAGGGAAGCATTAGGTGCACTGTCAAGAAGGCTTGATTTGGCTTTCAGAGATCTGTGATTCATTCTAACAACTGCAGGACTAGCAAGCCAACCTCCCTGGGGTATTTTTGCTTAGCTGGTTCTGTACAAACCATATGCAGAGGAATAGCACATTCCCATAAAGATGCCTCTGTTTGGGCTTTGGATCTGAGGCTGAATCAGACAGTCCCAGCCCCCTGTCAATAGTTGGCTGCCATGGTCCCCTTGCTTTTCCTGTCGCAGGTTAGGGCATTAGGTCTGTGTTGTCAGGGCTGACAGTAGTCTTATGTAGAGTTTAAATGATGGATTGTCTGGAATAGTTTGGACAGGATTGATCCTGCCTCAGGCAGGGGGTTGGACTAGGTGTGACCACTGGAGCTCCTTTCCAGCCCCACTTCTGTGTGATTCCATGCGATGAGGCCCCACATCACCTGTACCCCCCTAGATCCAACCATGGCATAATCTCTGCCAGGCTGGTGTCAGGACCAGTGTAGAGATGAAAACCTGTGAGCCCGGCTGCCTCGAGTCCTGTCTGACTTCCCGCTGCCTGTTTTCCTTCAGGTGTTTCTCCAGAGCTTCCACGAGACGCCAGCTCAGCTCTTTGATGAGACCATAACCATCCAGGTAGCATCAGGAGCCCTGTCCCAGCTGCCCAGGGTCAGGGTAGTGGGGTGACATGTCCAGCCCTGCTAGGGTCAGGCAAGACAGATTTCACGACCATTTTCCTCACTCAAGCTGATCTGGACCTGGATTCACAGGGGAGTCAGAGCCATGTCTGTACCCAACCATGTGGCAGGGATTCTCTCACGTCCACATCGGATGTGGAGTCAGATCTCAAGCTGTGTGGTCTGAAGCTCCGTGGCTGGGGCCAGGCTATGTAGGCATGTAGAGTGACACAGGAATCAGCCCTTCATGCCTCCCTGTAATCAGTGGTGGAAAATGAGATGCAGCTACAGAAATAGTTGAAGGCTAGAAAAGAAAGCTTCTGTCAGTGAGAGACTTGGTGGGCACACCAGTTGAACAGCTCAGTTTCCTCTGATTGATGCTGGACCATGTTCCTAGTGGATCCATTTTTGGATCCCCATTGGATTTCCAAAGTGGATTTCCAACCTTCTGTTTTGAAGCCTGGTTCCATCTTCCATGGTGTCTGCTTCCACACACAGCACTGTGTCACCTGGTGATTTATTTATTGGATCCTCCAAAACATTAATGAAATTATAAATGATGCAGCGTGGATGCAGGACAGACCTGTGGGGAACCCCATGTGATATCTCCTCCCCCTTCATAGGGTCATAGGAAAGTCTAGGGCACATCTAGTCCAGCCCCCAGCTCAAGGCAGGATCAGCCCTGACTAAACCACCCCAGCCAAGTGTCTGTCCAACCTGCACTTGGAAACTTCCAGGGTGGAGACGCCACTAGCTTCTCTAGGCTGTCTCGCAGTGGTATGTCAGGTCATAGGTGGCTCTTCTTGGTGTACAGTGATCCAACCTGTCATGGTCTCATCTTATGGGAGTTTCACGTTGACTACATTTTCTTAGGAGGGTGTCATTCAGAGGTGTGTGTCAGGAGGGGGATTTCCCCCCCTTCTTTTGTGTTGTTGGGTGTTGGCTGCAGCCCAGGCTGTGGGCCAACAACTGGGCTGGGCCAGTGCTCCTACTAGGACTCAAATTCAGAGGGTCCTGGCTAGAAAGTCTTGCCCTTCTGTTCAGGGTCAGCCTGATGCTGCATTGGGGTCAGGAGAGAATTCTCCCTCCTGGTCCAATGGGCATGGCCTGGGAGGCTTTGTATGGACTGGCAGGGCACGGTCTCTGCTTGGTATCTCTTGAATGCATCGAACCCCAATGGCAGCAGTGGGCACTGCCAGCCCTCATTGCTCAGCATCACCTGGGGCAGGGCTGGAGGCTCTCAGTGTCTCTGGGCCTGGTGACTGTGCACGGGGTTGGGATGTGGTATTAGGAACAGGTCAGGCTGGGACATGTCTGGGGGGTTGGATGCGGCTGGTTTTATTGGAGAAGTTATTTTGCCAGGGAGAATTCTGATTGGGTAGCATTTAGGTGGGCATTGGCGAACCACAGCCCTCTAGACCAGCTGCATCTGCCCCGTCGAGTGAAGGATTATGGGTAATAGACCCATCCTGCTCTTCAGTGTGTGGGGCCAGAGATAAAGACCCGTCCCTAGGAGCATGGGTAGTGAACCAGGCGTGGCTTTGATTGGCAGGTGCTGAACTCCCGGGCGATACGCGCCAACTCCCTGATCGGCATGTTCAAAGTGAGTTGAGGCCTTGGCCTTGGTCTCCCCCTTCCCTACCCACACTGGCCAGTGCCCCATGGAGAGGGAATTCATCCTGGCCGCAGGAGGCTGTTGAAGGCAGAAAGTCTCCAAGTCCCTGCCTAGCGCTGGCTTTGCCATGACAAGGCCCTGCAGTGCAAAATGCCAGCCAGCCTGTCTAGGGCAGCTAGCAGAAAGGGTTAACTCTGGCCCACTGTCAAGCTTTGCCACAAGAGATGCTGGCAGCCATCTTGCAGCGCAGCATCTCCATGCTTCTATTCCTGTGAAGGAAATGGCCTTCTCTCCCCTGATTTTGGGGAGCTGATCTCTTCTTTTCTGAGACGTGTGTGTAGTGGGCATGGAAATAGGGTAATTTGCTGTTGGTTCCCAACTTAGCTGAGGTCCCTGAAGCAATTTAGTTGCCCATTCTCTCCCAGGTGGGGAGATCCACTCCTGGGCCTAGTCCTAATGCAGGCCACTAATGATGTGTGGCTCCTGTGGCTCATTAAGAGGCTGCCAATCAAAGCAGCCTGGTGCAGGGTGACAAACCCAGTGGGCGGAGCCATCTCAGAGACCTCAGTCATGTGCTCAAAGCGCAGGTCAAGGTGTCAAGAGTTTTGGGTGCTATCCTAACCGGTGCCTCTCTCTGTTCTGCAGCTCGAGTTTGGACGTGTGTACAGCTCCCCTGGTAGGTGAACATGGGCATGGGCTGGGTGGCTCCTGCACCCTAGGTACAGAGGTGAAGATGGTCTTATTTCCACCCCCTGCAATCCAATTCAGCCCACGAGCCAGGGGTCATACCACTCCCCAGACTGGCCACATGGCCCTCACGTCATCAGCCTCCACTTACCCTCCCTGGGGCAGTGCTCCTCATGCCTCTTCCCTACCATTACTCGAAGCAGGCGCTGTCTCCCTGCCACGTGGTCTCGTAATCCAGGGAGCAGGCTCCTTGCTGACCTGGGTCATGAGAGCGAGCTCCAGCCTGGCCCAATGCCTTTGGGGGAGCCATGGGTAGGTCATCCCAGGTGCTAATTTTGACCTTTTCTTTCTAACCCCTGAACCAGGCCATGCTCTCAACTGCAAATGGCTGAGTCTCTACCACCCTGATCACCTTGGGACGGGCTTGAGGGGCTACCTCCAGGTCAGCCTCTGTGTGTTGGGAGCTGGGGACCCCACACCGGTAAGTGCTGCTGGGTGCCATCAAAGGGTATCCCCTGGTTCCAGACTAAGGGGGGCTGGTGAGCTTGTGGCAGGGCCTTTTCTGTGCCATGGTTGCCTCAACCACCACCTGCCTCATGCCTTGTGTGGAGGTGGCCCCTGCTCCCCGCTCCCTGTCCTGCCCCATGGCATGTACCCAGTGCCCTCCCGTGTGCCCAGTGCCTTTCCCACCTCTCTGCAGGGCCCAGACAAGCCTGCTGAGGGCAAGGATGGGGAGGCAGCTGTGCTCAAGTCACCCGGGGTGCCCGTGTGCATGGCCACCTTCCAGCTCTGCGTCTACAGGGCTGAAGATTTGCCTCAGCGTAAGAGCCGCAGGGGAGGTTGTCTGTCCCTTAGGCATGTGCTGGTGCCCGCCTGAGACACGTGTGTCCTTTGGGGCCTGCCTGGGACATGCGTGTCCACTGGGGCCTGCCTGGGATGCACATGTCTCCTGGTGCCAGTGCCTACTTGGAGCACTTGTATTCCCTGGTGCTGGTGCCTGCCTGGAACGTGTGTTTTCTGGTACTGGTGATCACCTGGGACACGCATGTTCTTTGGTGCTGGTGCCTACCTGGGACACGTGTGTCCTCTGGTACCAAGGACCACCTGGGATGTGCGTGTCCTCTGGTGCTAGGGACCATCTCAGGCTGGTGCTGCTTCCTGACTCTCAGGCCCCAGCCAAGGGAGGTGTCCCCACTTATTCAGACTGTGTACCTGTACCTTCAGCAGAGTACACTGGGCAGAGCCCATCGCAGCCCCTGCTCCCTGCACAGCCCCAGGACAGTGGTGTGGCTGGCCTCTGCGTGGAAGTCAGCTTTGCAGGGAAGACGGTAGGTGAAGTGTAGCTCCAGGTCAGAGAGGTGTCCACCAGGGACATGCATGTCCTGTGCCCATGCCCGACTGCTAGCACCTGCTTGGGGCATGCATGTATTCCAACACCTGCCTGGCACATGTTTGTCCTCTGTCGCACTGATTTTCTGGGATGTGTGCACTCTGGTGCTGGTGCCTGTCTGGGACACATGTTCTCTGGTGCAGTGAATCCCTGGCACATGCATGTCCTCTGGTGCCAGTGACACCTGGTACATGTGTGTTCTCTGGTGCTAATGCCTGCCTGAGATTCACGTCATCTCAGGCTACTGACCACTTGGGACACATGTTCTGTAGTGCCAGCACCTACCTGGCACATACATGTCCTCTGGTGCCAATGACCACCAGACATGCATTAACTTTGGTGCTGGTGGCTGTCCAGGACACGTGTCCTGCAGTGGTGGCACCCACTTGGGACACGTGTGTCTACCAGTGCTGGTATACAAGGCCATGTCTGGCTTGCTGGGGCCCAGGTGGGGAGGAGTGGGGCTTCCACATGCACCCCAGCTGTGCTGGTCTCCTCAGCTCCGGACAAGGTCAACACCAAGACAGGACAACCCCGTGTGGAACATGGCTCTCTTCCTTCCTGTCCAGGTGAGCCAGGCCTTGTGCCAGGTATCTCCTCCAGCCCCCAGCCTTCCCTGCTTCTCACCGCCCCCTTCTCCCTGCAGCTACCATCTGTGTGCGACACAATCAAGCTGGCTGTGCTGAGCGGGTAGGTTGGGCCACATGGGGAGCTAGGAAGGGCCTTGAGGGGTTAATCAGGGCACATGCATGGTGCTGCTTGGCTGCCTGCCTGGCTGTCCGAGGGTTGTGGAGGGGTGGGGGGGCACGCCACCCTCCCAGCTCCCATGAACATCAGCCAGTCTTGGGGGAGTGTAGAGCTGGGACTCAGCATCACACCTCCCTGATACAGTCAGCTCCAGGGCATCCCCCACCCAGCCCTGGCACCCCCTAGAGCAGGCAATGGGCAGCTCAGAGCTGGGCCCCATTCTCACCTGCTGTCTCTTCCATCCTTGCAGGGACCAGCCCGAGGCCCTGGGCACTGCAGCTATCAGACTCTCGCAGGTGTCTTCGGTGGGGACAGAAGCAGAAGGTAAGGGCAGGTGGGGGCAAGGCTGGGGCTCTCATCTCATGTCAGGGGTGGGTCTCTGGGCTGGGGCCCTCGCTGCTCTCAGCCACCGTCTTGCTTCCAGGGGACTTTGGTGGATTCCTGCCCTGCTTTGGGCCCAGCTTCCTGACCCTCCACAAGTGCCTCAGAGACCTCCCCAGCCAGCCGGACACACAGGAGGCACACAAGGCTGGGAGTGTGAGTCAGGGGCCTTGGCCCAGGGTGGAGAGGGCCAGCACCCTGGTAGGGGTCTGCCCTGAACAGCCAGGCCCCCCACCCCCACCCAGCACTCATGCTTCCTGCTGTTCATGCTCCCTGCTGTTTCCCAGGGGGATGCCGTGACCTACTGTGGCCGGATCCTGGTGGAACTGAGCACCAGCATGGAGGCCCCACCTATCCAGGAGATGCAGGAGATCCCTGATGATGCTGTGGCCCGTCTGGAGGTAACTGCCTTGGGAGGCGGGAGCTGGGGGTCTGTGCTGCCTTGGCACTGCAGCCCATCTGAGCATGGCCCGTGGGCTCCATCCTCTGTAGCGCTACCTGCCCAGGCGGAAGTATGGGCTGGGCGCCATCTTCTACTCAGCCACCATGCTGCCCCAGCTCACGGGACTGCTGCGCCTTCAGGTCAGCATGGGGCACTACGGGGACAACGCTGAGCACAGCTGCAAGCCTGTGCCTTCCTCCACCCCATATAGCCAGGCTGTCTATGATGGTAGGCACTGGGCGCAGGAGACAGGTGCTGTCAAACACGGCTTCCTTAGGGCTCCTGGTTAATCCAGAGTGAAAATGGATTAAGCCAGTGACTGGACAGTGGTTACAGTGTTTAGATCTGTAGCCCCCAGTGGGGGTTGAAGCAGAGAAGCCTCCCCACCACACACCCCTGGCCCCGTCACCCTCAGCCTTAGGGCTGGTCCTGAGCCTGCACCTTTTCCCATCTTCCCTGGCAGGGAACCGTTACCATTACCTGCCCTGGTATGACACCAAGCCTGCGGTGGCTGTCACCTCCTTCTGGGAGAACGTGGGCTACCGTCTGGATGCCCTTAATGCTCTGCAGGCCACGCATGACAGGCTGGTAGGTGCCAGAGCCATGGGGCAGGGCAGATATGTGCCATGGGGTTCTCCCCATGGGAGGCAGTGCCAACAGGAATGCTTTACCCACTGGGGCAAGGGCATGTGCCCTCGCTGCCAGGCCCTACCCATGGCCTCTGCCTTTCAGGGGTGTGCACAGAGTTGTACACCTGCCTGAGGGGATCAGGCTGGACCTGAGACCACACACAGGGCCCAACAGGCTGCCAGCAGGACTGATGTTAGCCACATATAGGGTTGCTGGCCCCAGAGGAGCTGAGCCAGCCAGCATGGGCCTGTCCCAGCACTGCCCGATAAAATCAATGGGATAGAAACCATGGGTTTCTGGCCCCCGCTGGGGGTGGGAGAGCCTGGGAGACACTGTCAAGAGTTTCCTCTTCCCCCAGAAGCAGAACCTGGAGGCCCTATGCACCGTGAAAACCCCTGACAGCCCTGCTTGGACCCACGCCTCCAAGAAACTTCTGGAGGAGCTGCTGGAGGACTGCAGGTGAGCGCAGCCCTGAGCTGGGGCAAGCCTCTGTAGTGTAGACAAAACCCTGGTACCTCTGGCCAGGCCTCTGGACCCTCTGCTAGAGGGTGCAGGCACCGGCAAGGCAGGGCAACACCCAGGGGTGGATCTACCCTCATGTATTCTCCCTGCCATGCATATTTATCTCTAATTAAAGAGAACAGAGGTTTCTTGCCACACCAGGGGGTCTGGCACTCTGTTATCTGGTCAAAGATCAAAGCAAAACCCAACACAGCTGGATTGGTCAGCATGCTAGTTGGCTAGAGGTTCAGGGATCACTAGGATCCCCTACTAATTGGTTGGAGGATAGATTAGGTTAGGGTATAAAAACACAGTGGACTGGGCAAAATCAGTCAACCTATTTTTCTCTAGTTAAAGAGGAGCTTGCTATGCTCTTACTGATATGCTGATGGCCTAGCACCATGGTATTCCACTTGAGATCAAAGCAAAAACAGATCTTCAAGCCTTCCTTAGAGGCATTCAGTGTTGGCTGCAGCCCCCTGGCTGGGGATGGTGACTGGGCTGCGCTAGAGCTTCTGCTGGGACTCATACCCAGGGTAGAGATCTTGCCCCTCTGCTTAGCCTCAGACCAGTGCTGCACTTGGGGTCAGAAAGGTATTTTCCCAGCTGGTCAGACTGGTATGGACTGAGGAGGGGGGGCAGGGGGAAGGTTTGCCTTCCTCTGTAGCAGGGATACAACTCTACCTGGGATCTCCTGAGCATCTATTAACAACCTTGGCAGCAGCATATTGTTGGCTGCCATAGATTTAATAGATTTCATAGATTTTTATGGTTGGAAGGGACCTCAGTAGATCATTGAGTCCTATCCCCTGCCCTGGGCAGGAAAGAGGCTGGGGTCAGATGACCCCAGCCAGGTGCTTGTCCAGTCTCCTCTTAAAGACCTCCAGGGGAGAGCACCACCTCCCTTGGAAGCCCATTCCAGGTTCCGGTAACCCTTACCGTGAAGAAATACTTCCTGATGTCCAATCTAAATCTGCTGTCAATTTGTGGCCGTTGTTTCTAGTTACCCCAAGGGAGTGCCCTGGTACACAGAGTATCTCCCATTCCTTGCTGCCCTCCCCCCACCCCCTCCGAAGAATTTGTAGCTGGCCTCTCACCTCTCAGCCTTCTCTTGCAGAGGCTGAAGAGATCCACGTTCCTCAATCTCTTCTCATAGGGCCTTACCTGCAGGCCCCTAACCATACAAGTAGCCCTCTGGACCTTCTCAAGGTTATCCGCATCCTTCTTGAAGTGCGGTGCCCAAAACGGGATGCAGTACTCCAGCTGCGGCCTGACCAGTGTCGCATAGAGGGGAAGTATCACCTCCTTAGACCTGTTTGTGATGCATTTGCTAATGCATGGTAAAGTGCGGTTAGCTTTACTTAACACTTCATCACATTGACAACTCACGTTCATCCTGTAGTCTACTATGACTCCGAGATCCCTTTCTGCCACTGTGCTACTTAGAGGGTCATCTCCCAGTCTGAGTGTGTTGGCGATTCTTTCTCCCTAGGTGCAGCACTTTGCACTTATCTTTGTTAAACTGCATCCTGTTCTGTTCTGCCCACTTTTCCAACCTGTTCAAATCTGCCTGAATCCGTTCCCTGCCCACCCATGTGTTTACTTTGCTCCATAATTTGATGTCATCCGTGAATTTGGACAGAATGCTCTCCATGCCTTCATCCAAGTCACCAATGAAGATATTGAACAGTACTGGTCCAAGGACTGAACCTTGGGGGACCCCACTGCCCATATTTTTCCAAGTTGATACCAACCTGTCTAGCACCACTCTCTGGGTGCATGCCATAAACCAATTCACCACCCACCTGACCTTGTAATCATCTACGTCATGGCCACTTAGTTTATTTATAAGAATGGGATGAGACATTATATTGAAAGCCTTTTAAAAATCCAAGTAAATGACATCTACCTTGGCTCCTGCATCTAAGCATTTTGTGACCTGGTCATAAAAAGAAACAAGGTTAGTCAGGCAGGATCTACCTGCTATGAACCCGTGCTGGTTGCCTTTCAGCCTTATTTTTCCTGCTGGACTCCCACAAATGTGTTCCTTAATACTTTTTTCAAAGGTTTTCCCAAGGACAGAGGTGAGACTAACTGGCCTGTAGTGACCCGGATCCTCCTTCCTCCCTTTCTTGAATATAAGAACCACATTGGCCCTTTTCCAATCATCTGGGACCTGTTCTGAGCACCATGAATGTTCAGACAATCTTGCCAGTGGTTCTGCTATGACACTGGCTAATTCTCTCAGCAACCTAGGATGAAGATCATCTGGGCCTGCTGACTTAAACATGTCCACCCATGGTTCCCCTGCTTTCCCTGTGGCAGGTTTGGGTGTGAAGTCTGGTGTTGTGTCAGGGCTCATGGTAGTTTTGCTAAGAGGTTGGACAACTGGATGCATCTGGGATGGTTTGGACAGGACTGATCCTGCCTCAAGCTGGGGGTTGGACTAGATGTGACCTCCAGACATCCCTTCCAGCCCTCGTTCTCTATGATATAACTATTGGCATGTACACTGATTTGCTAGATTAGCATAAAACAAACAAAACAAAAACCAAGTGGAACTAGGCAAAAACCAGCCAGAACAGCCCAAAGATGTGTCATGAGTCCCATAATCATTAGAATTAAGCCTAGGTCTCTTGCTCAGTTTTGTAGAGCAAAATCTAGTCTTCCTGAGAGTCTAGTCAGGGCTTTCACTACTTCCTTACAGAGTCATTGCTACCCCTGAGATAATACGGCCACACTGGAGGTAAGGTTTTGTTTTTGTTTTTTAGCTAGAGCTAGCAACAGGCTGCAAGGCTGTGAAATAGGAGAGAGGCATCATCAAGAATGGCTGACAGATTGTAGAAGAAAGGATAGTCTCAGTAGACAACAAGACCATTAAAAAGGAGAGAGGGGTGTTAAGACCAATGGAGTGAAGAGATTAGCAGGAAGTGGAGCCATGAAATCAAATCCAGGGAGGTCCTGACTACCTCCCATAGGCCAACCTAGGAGCTCTGTGCCTGCATACAGCCGGGCTACGAAGAATGGGCAATGCCCCCATGGGGTCTCGCTCTGGGTGTGCCTTGACCCATGGGGCTGAGGGGCAACACCTTGATCTCAGAGCCTGTGCTAGGCCAGGGTCCCCTTCTCCAGGGTAGTGGGAGCCCTAACCCACCCCTGGCTCTGTGTCCCTGCAGGAAGCCGCTGCCTGACTTGGAGGGGCGGGTGACAGCCACGATCCTAGACCAGCGACTGCGGGAGCAGCGGGTTCGGCTCCTCTGTCGGGTGGCCCGGTGCGCTGAGAAACTCGGCGCGGAAGCGCTGGTGGCCCAGGCTCAGGATTGGCTGCAGCAGCTGGCTGCCGTTGCCCACGAGGTACATCCATGCCCACCGCAGCCCTGGGGGTTGGGGAGTCTCAGCTGGCTGCTGATGCTCTGCCCACCCTCTGACACCAGCCCCAGGTCAGCATCCCTGATGTGATGATCTGGCTGCTGTGTGGCGAGCAGCGCGTGGCCTATGCCCGGGTGCCAGCTCGTGCTATCTTGTTCTCCAAGGCCGGGCCCCGCACCTGTGGCCGGCTTTGTGGGAAGACCCACACCCTCTTCCTGAAGGTATGGGGCACCCTTGAATCCCTTCCACAGCTCCTCTGCCCCCCCGCTCCCCCCCCAGGGCACTCCAGGCCCTGGTGAGCACTGCCCTGTGCTGAAGGGGTCCCAGAGCTGAGGTCTGCTCCTTCTACTCTCCTCAGAACCCCCAAGGTGCTGGGCAGGATGAGGCCGGGCAGGGGCAGCTGCGGGTACGGCTGTGGCTGGGGCTGGTGACTAACAGCGAAGCCTTCAAGCGGTGCTGCGAGGGGCGGGTCCAGGTCTATGCTGAGACGGTGAGAGAGGCATAAAGCCAGCCTGCACCCAGGCATGGCCTGACAGGCAGCAGGCAAGGGTGGGGCACCGTGGGACCTCATGCTCGTCACATGGCCCACACCATGCAGCTCACCATGGCACCGTGGCCAGGACTGCTCTGGCTCATGCCCAGGGATTTAGGCCTGGGTCTGATGTGCCCCTTCTCTGCAGTATGAGAACCAGGTGAAGGAGCTGGGCAAATGGGGGCCAGGGGAGCCACCAGATGCCTTCTGGTTCTCCGACATCACCGGCAGGCTGGGGCTGCCCATGGACCGGTTCCAGCTGCCCCGGGGCTGGCGCTGGGCAGGGGACTGGGCTGTGGAGCCACAGCGCAGGTGAGTCCAGGAATCTCCCCCTGCTCTGACCTGGGAATAGGGAGAAAGGGGGTGGCTAAGCTGCAGCCGGCACCTCTGACACTGCCCGCTTCTTCAGGCTGCTCCTGGACGCAGAGACCAACCGCAGCGAGGTGCTGGAGGAGGTTTATGAGCAGGAGAACCGGCCACCAGGGCAGGACTGGGCACCTGCCCCTGTGCCCCACACCAATGCTGTGAGCAGGGGCCATTGGGCTGGGGATCCCATCATCCCAGGGTGTCAGCCCTCCTCACCAGCTGGAGCCCACCCCATCTGGGGGTACTAGGGGCATTGGCCTCTGTAGGGCATGATTCCTGTGCCGTGAGGGCCCTTCACAGAGACCAAACCCATGTTGTCATCTCCCTTCACAGGCTGGGGTGCCCATGCCCCCAAAGGAGCAGGTGCCATGCCCGCGGGGCTGGAATGTGGAAGATGACTGGCATGTGGAGGTGAACCGTGCAGTGGATGATGCCGGTGAATGGCCCTTGGCTTTGCCCCCTCACAGGCCGCGAGGATCAGGGTCCCTCTCAGCCCAGCCCCACAGGCTTATGGGGGGCTTAAGGGAGGTGGTGGGAGGTTAGCCCAGTGCCAGAAGGCCATGGTTGTCTCCTTCCAGGCTGGGAGTATAGCATGGGGTCCCTGCCACTGACGTGGGCCGCGGCCGAGAAAATGTACCACACACAGCGGCGCCGGCGCTGGCTGAGGCGGCGCCAGCGGGCGCTGAGTCCCCGGCGCCAGGCGTGGGAGATAGCCTCCTTCCTGCAGCTGGTAACAGTGTGGATGGGTGGTGGGGATCTGGCCCCTCTGCCTCCAGCATCCCTGGTGGTAGATGGAAGTAGGCGGCTGGATGCCTGGAACGGCTGGGGGCTTCACCTGGGTGTGCCCATCTGACCCAGTTCTGCCCACAGCATGTTTCTGAGGAAGCTACAGCCTTGGAGAATGAGGATTATGGCTGGGAATACTCTGCAGAGCCAGAGGGGAAGTTCCACCTGCACGCCCAAAGCAATGATGAGTATCGCCGGCGCTGCTGGCACCGCCGCCTGGTCCCAGCCCGGGCCTCTCGTGTGGCCTCCATCTTTCTCCTCGAGGGCTCCCTGGTGAGTGCTAGGGGACCTCTGCTCCTCCTGCCGCTGTGGCTAGCCCTGCGTGAGTACCCATGGTGCCTCTCTCGGCCCAGGGCACGGAGCCGACAGGCAAAGCTGTGGAGACGGGCAGCAGTGAGGTCGGGACACCACAGAGCCCTTCACAGACCCTGCTGCAGCTCCACACACCCCTCATCGTCTGCATCTTCCCCCGTGAGTCCCTGCACAGGGCATGGCTGGGGCTGGCGGGGTAGGGGAGCACTGGGAAGGGGTGAGAACCACGAGCACTCCCCCCTCCCCCACAGACCCCACATACTACCAACTGCGCTGCTACATCTACCAAGCCAGGGACCTACTCCCAGGCAGTGGCAAGACTGCAGCAGGTAGGTAGCACCCCTGTATCTTCCCCACAGACCCGATGCCCTTACACCTGTGGCCTTGGGGTGGTCTCATGGACCTGTTGTGATGTCCCTTGATAAATCCTTGGGGCAGCCTCACTTCGAAGACTCTGTCCAGGTCTGGCCCCCTCAAGCGTCTCTTCTGGAATGAAGAGGCCTGGCCTCTTTAGTTTCTCCTCATGGGAAGCCCCTCCATGCCCCCGATCATCCTGTTTGCCCTTCTCTGCACCTTCTCTAGCTCTTCTGGATCCTTTTGGAGGTGTGGGGACCAGAGCTGGGCAGAGTCTTTGAGGTGGGGCCTCCCCAGGGATTTATAAAGGGGCATCAGGACACTTTCCATTCTGTTCACAACTCCCTTCTCCATCATCCTTGACACGTTGTTTGCCTCTGATGGCTGCTTAGCCCTGAGCTGATGCATGTAGCCACCTGTCCATCATGACTTCCAGACCTCTTTGCTGCATGATAACAGCTAACACAGAGCCCATCCGAGTGTAGGTCGAGCTGAGGCTAGTTTTGCCCAGGTGCATCCCTTGACACTGATCTCCACTCAATTTAATTTGTCCCGTTGTTCATTTGGACTCGTGTAGACTGCCCATTTACATTTTGCTTTTTATCTTGGAGCCAGTTTCTAATCCATGCATGGATGTTCCCTGCAATCCCCTGACTCCCTCTCTTTGTTAAGAGCTTCTGATGGGGGACCTTGTCCAAGGCTTTCTGGAAGTCCCAATAGACCATGTCAGCTGGATCACCCTGATCCACCTGCTGCTTGACACCCTCAGAGAGCTCTGGTGAAGCAGGATTGCCTCTGACAGTGCCAGGCTGATTCTTCCCGAGCAAGTTGTGTTCATCCATATGCTGAACACTTCTTCCTTTCCTTCTTGTTTCTACCTGTTTCCCTCCACAGAAGTCAGGGTCACTGCCCTGTAGTTCTCTGGGTCCCTTCTAGAGCCTTTTCTAAACGGGAGTCACATCCACAACTTCCAGGCCTCTGGTATCAAGGCTGTTTCTGCCCAGTTGCACTAGGACAGTTAGGAGCTCAGCAATTTCCAATCTGAGCTGGTTCAGGACCCTGGGGAGAGAGGCTGATCCAGTCCGTGGCAGATCCAATGGGTGCCCTGGAGCATACAGGTCCCCCCACTTGCTGCTGCCAACTGATGGGGTTCCCTCTCCCACCCCAGACCCCTTTGCCCATGTGGCCTTTCTGCACGTAAGCCAGCACACATGGACAGTGCCAGACACCCTTCACCCAGCCTGGGACCAGACATTGCTCTTCCGCCGCTTGCTGCTCTATGGGGACCCCAAGGCCTTGGCCCGAGACCCCCCTGTGGTGGTGCTGGAGATCTTTGACCAGGATGTAGGCGTAAGTGCGGCTGTCAGGGCTGGGGCTCAGGTCCACAGTTCCATGGCCTCATGGTTCCTCTTTCCAGGGCCGGGATGAATTCCTGGGCAGGAACATGTGCCAGCCCACCGTGTGCCTGCAGCCCAGTGTCCGATGCCCACCCCGGCTGCGGTGGTTCCCCATCACTTGCAGGCAGCAGCAGGCTGGGGAGCTGCTGGCTGCCTTTGAGCTGCTTCTAGAGACAGAGGTGAGGGAGGGGGCTGTGGGCTGGGATTGAGGGGCACTGGCTGGGCCTATTCCTGGTGACCCCCAGCTCTGCCTACCCAAAGGATGGGTCCTGTGTACCCCCAGCTCTGCCTCCCCACAGGATGGGGCACTGAGCCGGCTGCCGCCTCCACCGTGGCGGGACGGGCACCACATCACACCTGCTGAAATCCGGCCTGCTGTGCGCCCAATGGCCATCGAGGTGAGTGGGGCCGGGGGGACTGGCGCAGAGGGAGGTTGGGAGGGGCTGCAATGCCTAGCAGCCCCCTGACCTATGTGCTGGATGCTGCAGGTGCTGGCGTGGGGGCTGCGGGGCCTGGCCAGTTTCAAGTTGCTGCCCGTGGGCTGCCCGGCACTGACCGTGGAGTGCGGGGGGGTCTCAACCACCACGGCCCCCATCCGCGACCTGCAGCACCACCCCAACTTCCCCCAGAACGTCCTGCTGCTGCGTGTGGTGAGCTGTCTGTCTGTCTGGACTGGCCTCAGCTGTCTGCCGAGGACCCCCATGCCTCGTCTGTCTGTCCGTCTGTAACCCCACACCAGGCCTTGTCCGTCTGTCCCTCACCCTGTGCCATGCCCTGTCTATCTGTGTATCTGTCCCTGGCCCCATGCCAGGCCTAGTCCATCTGTCTCGCTGTAACCCCACATCAGTGCTTGTCCATCTGTCCCTCTGTGAACTCGTGCCAGGCCTCGTCTGTTCGTCTTTCTGTCCATCCATCCCTCTATCCCTGGCCCTATGCCAGGCTTTGTCTGTCTGTCCTGACCCCAGGGCCAGGCCTCACCTGTCTGTCTGTCTGTGCCCCCATGCTGGGCCTTGTCTGTGTGTCTGTCCTGGGCCCTAGACCAGGCCTCGCCTGTCTGTCCCTCTCCCTGCCCCTTCCTCAGGTGCTGCCTGTGGACGATGACTATGCGCCCGCGCTGGAGCTCAAGGTCATCGACTACCGGGACTTTGGCTACCAGCCCATGGTGGGGCAGAACTGCCTCCGAGACCTGCGCCCCTTCCTCTGCCAGCCCCAGCCCGGGGGTCTGCACCTCCACCTGCCCCCCCGAGGTAACCCCCCAACCTGCAAGTGCCCCTCACTCCCGATCTGCAGCCCACCTATACCCTTAACCCTGTGTTCGTCCCACCATACAGGCAAAAGCAAGGGCTGGATCGCCAAGGTGAGTGCCTCAGCCCCACACCACAGTGACCCCAAAGCTCCCTTGCCGGGGGAGCCAAGCAAGCCACGCCATTGGCTTCTCTGGGGCCCAGCAGGGAATGAGGGGGCTACTCCATTGCTCAGGGGGCTGCTGATTTCCTGGAGTGACACATCCTCTCCCCCCTCCCCCCGCAACAGGTGCTGAGCCGTGTGGCCAAGCGGACGTGGGGTCGCTGGGTGTTGAGGCCAGAGCAGGTGGGCAGAGCTCCTGGAGGGCCACGGGCATGATGGGCACTGACCCATGACCTCTGACCCCTGATCCCCACCAGGCTGATGGGGTGGAGGAGGAGGAGGAGGCTGAGGCCGACTGGTGGAGCCGATTCTATGCAGCCACGGGTGACCTGACCAAGAGTGGGGAGGCTGTTGCAGCACTGGACCCCCTCCAGGTGGGTACAGAGCAGGTACCACGGTGTCTGCCTTGCCCCGAAGGGGAGCATCCACACCAGCCCTGCCCCTGCCTCCATGGAGGGAGCTGCCAGCACAGCGAGGGCCCCATGTTTGTCCCGCTGCACCCCAGAGTGGCCGCATTCCAGCCACTGCTCCAGGGCTGGGGAGGCCTGACCTAGCCACACATGTCCTATCCTCCCTCCCCTCCCCTCCCCTCCCCTCCACCCATGGCAGATATACAACTGTGAGCTGGAGGCTGTGAAGGAGTTTGAGGGGCTGCAGGATTTCTGCCAGACCTTCCCGCTCTACCGGGGCTGCACAGAGCCTGGTGATGACCCCCTGGTGGTGGGAGAATTCAAGGTGAGAGGGCTGGGGCCATCAGCTGCTCTGTGCTCTGCTCCCTGCCATGTGCCTCCTCCCCATCAGCTGGTCTGCTTTCTGCTTCCTTCCCTGTGCCCCCTGTCCCATCTGCTGCTCTGTTTTCTGCTTCCTGCCTTGTGCCACTTGCCCCATCATCTACTCTGCTCTCCGCTCCCTGTCCCATCCAGTTGCCGCTCTGCTTGCAGGGCCTCTTTCGCATTTACCCGCTGCCCGAAGACCCTGGAGCACCACTGCCCCCACGCCAGTTCCAGGAGCTGCCCCCAAGCCAGCCCCAGGACTGCCTGGTGCGGGTCTACGTGGTGCGAGCCTTCAACCTGCCCCCCAAGGACCGCAACGGCCTGGTAACGCACAGGGGCTTTTGCACAGGGGCTCTTGCATGGGGACCCTCCCAGGGGGGTTCTTGCACAGGGCCTGTTGCATGAGGGTGTGCAACATGGGGTGGAGTGGAAAAGGGCCCTGGCCCCCCCCTCAACCCATCCATGACCCCCCAGTGCCTGTCTCCCACAGTGCGACCCCTACATCCGTGTCACTCTGGGCCAGATGAAGCTGGGGGATCGGGATGACTACGTGGCCAACACCCTGGAGCCCATCTTTGGAAGGTGGGGCTTGGGGTTGTGGGGTCTGGGAGACCTGGAGGCCAGGGGGCTTGGGAGCCTGGGAGCTAAGGGGAGATCAGGGGGCTGGGAGCCAGGGAACTGCTCCCACTCTCATCCCAGGTCAGGGGTGGCTCCCCAGGTGCCCAAGCTTTGCCAGGGGGTGGAGGGGGATCTGGCCTAGCCTGGACCACCAGCATGTGCCCCTGTGCTTGCAGGCTTTTTGAGCTGTCCTGCCACCTGCCCCTGGACAAGGACCTGTGTGTGGCGCTACTGGACCGGGACATGGTGCAGCCTGACCAGCCCATTGGGGCTACCACCATTGACCTGGAGAACCGCTTGCTGTCCCGGCACCGTGCCCACTGTGGCCTGGCCCCTACCTACCGCCTGTGAGACCCCCACACCTCCCCACAGGGCCTGGGGATACCAGCCAGGGCTTCCCACAGCTCCGGCTAGCTCCACTGCTGCCTCAGTTTCCCCCAAGCCTCCTTCACTCACCCCAGCCCACCTCCAAACCCACAGCCCTCTGCCCTCACCCAGCCCAGTCAGTGCCTCACTCCCAACCTGCAGCACCCCCACCCACTAGTGCCCCCCACTCCTGACCTGCAGCCCCCTGTCCTCCCAGCCCCGCCAATGCCTGTCACAAGGCAGGGAGCAGAAAGCTGAGCAGCCGATGGGGCAGAGAAGGGGTGGGGGGCATGGGCCTGCCTCAGGGCTATCTAACTCGCCCACCCCTGGTCTCCACAGCTCAGGCCTGGGGCAGTGGCGGGATCAGATGCCCCCAACACAGGTACTGGAGGAGCTGTGCCGAGCACGGGGCCTGGTGCTGCCTGAGTTCAGCGAGGACGGCGGCCAGGTTGGCTTCCTGGGCCGCAGCTTCCTGCTTGCCGACTTTGGTGAGTGCTGGGGTGGGGGAGCTGGGATTTGAGGGGTGGTTGTTCCAGCCTGAGGGCCCTGGTTCCACATGCCCTGTTGCCACAGAGCGAGCAGTGCCAGCACCAGCTTTGCGGTACCTGGGTCCCCCCCGTGAGCGCCTGGCGCTGCACCTGCTACACACCTGTGATCTCGTGCCCGAGCATGTGGAGACGCGGCCCCTCTACAGCCCCACCCAGCCTGGCATCCCCCAGGTAGGCCTGGGTGGGGGGCAGCCAGAGCTGGCACAACAGGTGTTGTGGGGCTGGGGTGGGGGCAGAGCAGGACGGGGGTGTGGATGGCTTGCTGGGTGCCCCTCGCTCCCAACCTTGCTGGTGCCCCTCACTCCTGACTTGCTGGTGCCCCCCCAGGGCAAGCTGCAGATGTGGGTGGACATCTTCCCTGAGAGCTTGGGCCCCCCCGGCCCCTATGTTGACATCATCCCCCGAAAGCCCAAACAGTGAGTGAAGCAGGCCCCACCCCATGGCAGATTGACCAAGGTGTCTGGGAAGGTGGGAGTGGGGGGTAAACCCAAAACAGGAGAGCCCCCTGGGGGGTTTCTCTTCTGCGAGGGCCCTGCTGCACCCAGAAAGGAAGGTCTGGGTGCTCCCCACTCACTTTCCTCCTCACCCTGCCCCAGGTATGAGCTGCGCTGCATCGTGTGGAACACGTGTGATGTGGAACTGGAGGAAACAAATATCATGGGGGAGCACATGAGCGACATCTATGTCAAGGGGTACAGTGCCCCTCACTCCTGACTCAGCCCCCTGCCCTTTCCAGTGCTGCTCGTGCCTCTCACTCCTGACCCATGACTCTGTGCCCGTTGCAGCTGGCTGGATGGACAGGAGGATGTGCGGCAGCGAACGGATGTGCACTACCGCTCGCTGGGGGGCGAGGGCAGCTTCAACTGGCGCTTCGTCTTCACGCTGGACTACCTGCCGCTGGAGGGTGTCTGTGTGCTGCCCCGCAAGGTGAGGAGCTGTTGGGGCAGCACCCCCCGGGTGTGTGGAGGGGGATTGGCGTCCAGTGGGGGCGATGAGGGGGTCCAGCCACACACACCCCCATCCCTGGGCTAGGAGCACCTGTGGAGCCTGGACGAGACGGTGCTGAAGCTGCCACCCAAGCTGGTGCTGCAGGTCTGGGACAATGACAAGTTCTCAGCTGACGACTTCCTGGGTGAGGCCTCTCCCCTGCTCCCTGCAGCCACAGGAACCCTGTGGGGGCCGCAAGTTGGGAGTGAGGGGTATTCGCAGGACAGGGAGGGCTGCAGGTCAGGACTGGGGGCTGGTCCCCAGGGCACTGATCCCTGTGGCCATTGACTGCCCATGGCTGGGACGGGAGTCTACCACCCCTATAGCCATGAGCACCCCTAGCCCACATCCTCCCCCCACCACCACAGGGGCCCTGGAGCTGCCGCTGACCCAGGTGCCACGCCCAGCCCAGCGCCCCCGCGACTGCACCCTGCGGCCCCCGCGGGACCCTGGCACCAACCTTTTCCACCAGCGCAGCTTGCATGGGTGGTGGCCCTGTGCCAGCTACAACAAGGCTGGGCACCCACACCTGGCGGTAGGTGGGTGGGGTGGGGCTCCCAGCCCCCCCCCAATGCCTCGGTTTCCCCCTCTGTACCTCAGTGTCCCCCTCTGGTGCCTTCATTTCCCAGGGCAAGCTGGAGCTGACACTGGAGCTGCTGACAGCCAAGGAGGCAGAGGAGCGGCCAGTTGGCCGGGGTCGAGAGGAGCCCAACATGTACCCCACACTGCAGCCACCGGTGTGAGTATCAGCAGTACCCCCAACTCCTACCAGTATAAGACTGGGAATCCCCCCCACCCTGGCCCTACCGATGCCCTCCTCCTATTGCCAAACCTCTCCTCCCTCTGAGCAGGCGCCCAGAGACCTCGTTCCTGTGGTTCACGGCACCACTAAAGACCCTGCGGCACATTGTGTGGCGCCGGAACCGCTGGCGGGTGCTAGGGGGCCTGGCCTTACTACTACTTGCCCTGCTCCTCACCTCCTTTGTCTATGCTTCCCCGGTGAGTCACAGGCTGAGCTGGGGCCTGCAGTGCCCATGGGAGGGGGCAGGCCACAGCTAGGTGCCATGGTGCGGGCTATGGCTGGGTGCTACAGCTATGCTTCCCTGCAGCGCTACCTGGCCATGAAGCTCATCAACCCCTTCCAGAGCGCCCACTCCTTCGGCAGCCTCAAACCAGTGCTGGGGAGCAGTGGCCAGCACTGATGTCCTTGTAGTGGCGGCAGTGCCTCCTGTCCCTTGCCATGCTCAGCCCTGGCTGATGGGAGCCTAGAACTGCCTTCGGGATTGTTGCAGCAGCCACCCAAGCCTCTATAAAGGCCCAGTGTGGACACCATATGTCATGTGTGTTGGTATCCTGGAGCCGGGGTAACTGGTTTCCGGACATTTAGGGAATGCCAGGCGGGAGGTGGGACTGATGTGGCAAGTCTCCACCTGTCACCTCCATGGGCAAGAGACATGTGGAGGTGGGCGCTGCATCCGTGAGACAGGGGACTGGGCCTGGCGCAACAGCCCCAAACCTGCTGGATTAACCTAACCCTAGTGTCCTTGCCCACTGGGAGCTAGGGTCTGGCGGTGTTTCCATCACCCACATGGTGAGCATGGGCGCTTAACAAAGCCAGACTGAGGCAGGTGAGTGGGGCACTGGTTGGTTTACTCCCAAGCCCCGCCATGTACAGAGGCCTGATGCCAGGAGGGCTGCGCTATTGCCCTGCTGTGGTTCCCCCGCCGCCACCTCATAAAGGCTATGAACAGTGGAGGCCACATGGATGTACGTGGGGGCAGCTCCCCACCCTCACCCTGATAGGCCCTTCTCCAGCAGCTGGGGCCATGGTGAGAGTCTCCATCCATTCAGACTCTGACCCTCCAGGCCTTGAGGTAGCATCACCCGTTGTTCCGCTTGGCGCACTGACTGAGGCATGAGCTGCTGAGCCAGGCTTTGGGGGCAGCTGTGAGGCTCTGACAGCAGTGCCCAAAGGCAGGAGGCCAAGGCAGCTCCCCCAGACAGCAGCATATCGGTCCCAGTAGTTCACAGAGCTAGGCCTGGCACCCAGGGTGGTGGGGTGGTCTTGGTGCGACTGTGAGGGCCCTGGCCATGTCCTAGACCTAGGGCCAAAGTTCGAGGCACTGATGGCAGGCGCTCAGGGACAGGGGAAGCAGCAGCTCCAGGCACAAGGCAGAGACCCAGGAGCACTGGGATTCTGGTGCAGGGGCTAGAGGTGCGCTGGCAGCACTTAAGCCCCTATGCCAGCCACAGCTCAGTAGAAGTGCTTGCGGCTCTGCTCCTGCCACTTGTTGTAGACTATGATGCCAATGACAACAGCAAAGACAGCGGCCACCAGGGAGAAGAAGACGATGAGGAAGAGGGCCAGGCCGCTCATGGGCTCCAGTGGCACGTCCACTGCAAGAGGCAGGTGATGGCATGAGCCTGCTGCCGCCGCCCCCCCCCTCCGATCCTTGAGAACCCATGCCAGCCCTGCAGAGAGGCTTGGCTGGGCCCTAAGCCCCTGGTGCTGGGCACATGGCTGCAGCCTCCTTCCCTCACTCACAGCCGGGGAGCTTCATGTTGTCCACGACAGGCAGGAAGACCTCACGGTCCCACTTCTCCTCTTCGGGCGTGCGCTCCACTGTGAGCTGGTAGAGCTTCAGTGAAATAATGTCGTGGTTATCTGTGGGCACAGGAGGGCATGTGGGCACTGTATCAAGCTGTAGGCAGGCCCCCAGGCACGGGGAAGCCATGTGTGAGGGACCCAGGCACCCAAGGGGCTCTTGCAGGCCGACTCCACCTTGCTCTGGTGGAAACATCTTGGGCTCCAGTAAGCGCCAGGTGCCACGGCATTGCGTAACAGCCTGCCGGGCTGCTAGGAAGGGGGGCCCTTGATCCCAGAGCACCTCATCCCTGTGGAGCCTGGCACTGGGGACAGGGGATCCTATACCTGAGAGGTCCCCGGTGACAGAGGAGGTGCCGAAATAGTAGCCTCGTGGCAAGCGCACGCCCGGTACGTCAACACAGTCTCGCCACTCGTGCTTTCCGTCGATGTCTATCATGACCTGGAGGACAAATGGACAAACCAGCTCTCAGGTGGGGTCATGCCACGCATCCCACCCTAGACTGCCGCTGCCCCCCAGCCCCATGCTCACTGTGAGGCGCCGCTTGACATAGCGGATGACAAGGAAGGTGTCATGGTCCAGGTTGCGCACCATGGCAGTGCAGCCACCCAGCTCTGTGGGGCGTCCATCGTGGTCGTGGTCATAGCTCAGGGACCCATTATTCACCATGGCAGAGATGTAGGGGAACACACGCTGCAGTGGGAGGAGAGGAGACCTGAGCAATCACTCACACTTCACTGCTAGTTGCAGGGAGCAGGGCTTCTGGGCACAGCTCTGAGCTGAGGCAGCTAGGCTGGAAGCCGTGGCTATCATGGCTGTAGCCTCCCACCAGCTAAACAGAACCCCCCAGGAGATGCCCCTCAGCTCTGTTTATGGCCACCTGCCCCAGATGCATGCTGCTGAGAGCCCCCATAGCACATTTGGCCTCGTGTGAAATCTGGGGAAGCCTGGCTGCAGGGATATGCAGGCCATGGCAGCCTCTAGGTCTGTACATCACCAGCCATGGGCTGCAGTCTCTCCCCTCCACCAGATGGCCAAGGGAAGGTGCTGCAAACTCCCCCCTCCTCCAACCACGAAAACCAGGGAAGCCACAGTTGCATGCAGGAGAGGCTGAGCACTGGTGTAGCCCTGGCAGCTGCCCCCCCGTGAGTGGGTACCTGATTTCCAGGGGTATAGCGCCTCTTCTGAGCCTGAGTCCCCAGGGGGAGTGCAAAGCAAAAGAGGTACAGAAGCGAGACAGTCACAAACCTCAGACCCTCCAAGAGAGGCCATCTCAGGAAAAGCAGAGCCAAGGAAAGCTGCCCTAACCCCAAGACCCTGGCCACCCTTCCTTGGGGGTCCCTTCCAGCCCAGCCTGTGGAGCCAGACAGGAACCTGAGAGGCTGGATCAGACTCAGGCTGGGCTGGGAGAAGGGTTCCCAGTTCTCCAGAGTTGCTGATCTGTGCGCTGAGGTCAGAGGCAGCCAGACCCCAGGTCACAGAGAGACAAGGGATCCTGCCACACACTCCCGGACAAGGGCCTTCCCGGAACCAGGTGATACCTTTGTTTGGGGCAAAAAGCAGCTAGAAAGATGCCCCTTAGCTCATGGATTCCCTTCCCTACTGATGCCCCAGAGCGATCAAGACTGGAGGACAGGTCCAGGCTAGAGCAGAGCTCAGCGCGTGATGGGATTCAGAGGCCCAGGAGGAGATTCGAGGTGCTGGCACAGGCAGTGGGGGTCCAGGATGTGCCTCCAGAGTTGAGGGCTCTGTGCTGCAGACCGGGCTCTACTGCTTCCCTCTTCCCAGCTTGGCAGTATCCCCTGCCCTCAAGGGGTCAGCACTCACTCTCTCTTCTCCCCCAGCTGGCAGCCATGTCTATGTCTGTTGCTCTTGCTCTGAACATAGAAGGGGCTATGGGTGGCCACCACGCATGGACAAGGCACCAGAGGAGGCAGTGGGAGAGAGAAACTCAGGAGAGAGGCAGAGGGCCCCACAGGTGCCAAAAGCCATGAGCCAGCCAGGCGGCCTCCCAGTGCCCCTCACCTCCTGCTGCTTCTCCTCATTGGGATATGTGTCCACAAACACGCCCAGCCCCAGGAAGTTATCCTTGCTCCCGAAGACGGGTCCTGCATGAGGGGGGAGGGAGAGAGAGATTGTCAGCCATCTGCCACCCTATGTCGTTCTGGACAGGGCCCTGAAGTCACACCCCGAGGGTAAACCAAGTCATGAGCCCCATCAGGAGCCACAACCCAGTTCATCCACCTGACACACAGAGAAGCCTCCACTTGGCAGTGATAGCATTCAAAGGCCAGTCAGATCACGTGGCTGAGGTCAGTGACCCAACCTGTACTGCTTAAGAGAGAAGCTGTACCCTGGAGGCACATAACCCCACCAACTCCTGGCAATGCTCTGAGCAGCCAGAGCAGAGAGTAGCCACAGGGGGTCCAAAGCTGCAGAGCCGAGGGAAGCAGTGGACTCTCGATCACTGGAGAGATTCAAGGAGACGTCAGATAGCTGCTGGGCTGGGATGATCTAGGCGTGGCAATGCCTGTGTTCTGCTATGGGGCTTCTGGGCTTTGCCGGCTGTCCTCCCTGCCCCACGTAGCAGCAGACAGGGCGGGTTTAAACCTTCCCCAGAGGTACTGGGTTATGGCTGCAGCTCAGGCTGGGGATGGGGACTGGGCTGTGGCAATGCTCCTGCTGGGACTCAACCCTGGGGGTTCCTGGCTGGAGAGTCTTGCTGTCTGCTCAGGCTCAGACTAATGCTGCATTGGGGTCTCCCCTGCTCAGACTGGTACGGCTTTGCCTTCCTCTGTAGCGGGGGCATGGCTTCTGCCTGGGATCATTTATCATCTGTTAACCACCTTTTACAGGATGGTGGCTGCCCTGGTCCCCCCTGTTTTCCTTGCAGCAGGGTCAGGACCGATGTCTGGTGTGGTACGAGGGCTGATGATTATTTTGCGGAGAGTTTAGATGATGGACATGTCTGGGAAGGTTTGGACGGGGCTGCCTCAGGCAGGGGGTTGGCCCAGCTGTGACCTCCGCTGGTCCCTTCCCGCCCCACTTTTCTTGTGAGTCTACAACTGTCTCCCCGTGTTTCACCACCACCTTCCTCAAAGCCACTCCCTGGGCTAGCACCTGTCTGCATGCGGTCCTTGGTGTACCAGAGGGCGAACCCATCGCCGTTGAGGTTCTTCTTGCCCTGGCCATGGATCTTGAAGTGGACCTGCATCTCCCAGTCCCGCAGATAGCAGGGCTGTGAAGTGGAGAGCATAGGCATGGTCAGGGGCATGTGGATACCACAGGCCCAACGCTCCCTAGCTCCAAGGCAGGTCCCTTGGGCATCACGGCCATGCAGCCAGCACCTTTACACCCGAGTGTCTGGTTTCCTCACAAAGCAATTATCCCCCAGCGAAGCTCATTAGGAGCGGGGAGTCCATTAGATCAAGGAAACAAAGGGAAAGTGAAGGGGGGGGTCCTATTCCTCCCTGCTCTGCATACCGACCCGAGTCCAGGCTAGAGCTGACAGCCAGCCCCTTCATCCCGCGCTGCAGCACTCACCACGCGGTTCCAGACGGCGCCCTGCCGGCTCTGCTGGTCAGGTGTCAGGCGGATGAACTGGGTCATGACCATGGCGTTGCCCAGCAGGTCCCAGAGCGCGGAGCTGGATGAGCCCACGCCTGGGGGCAGGGAGGGAAGCATCTGCACCCACTGTGGCCTGGGGGGCAGTGCCTGACTCCCCCCAGCCCTTCCCCCAGGGCTGCAGGCTCAGCCCCCACCCTGTGACCAACTAGCTGCCCCCCAGGTGCCCTCAGCTCCGCCCCTGGGAAACAAAGGCCCGCCCCCAC